CGCGTTGATTTGATTCGCATCTGAAGATGAAATATGGGGAATATCACCAATATGTTTCGTGAGAGTTTTGTGCATTTTCTCAAAGTTTCTTTACATAAGCGAGCTGTGTGAAATTTGTATTCATCAGTTTTATCAGCTGAGAGTTTCATGTCTATTAATGGCCTAATTCTTACTAGTACATTTCTACAAAGTACTCAATGCTGAATGTGCTTGTTGAGTAAAACTTGATTCTTGTGTAAAATCTTGAGTTAGGGCAGTAATAATGAATATGTCGCCTTTTTCACCGAATCACCACAAGATGTTTTATTCGTTATTATCAAAATGAGGGATGGGTATCTCGACAGAAATGAATGTAAGCACAACCGTAGCTTGCTCTCCGAACATTCGTTTAGTCCGAATTCCTCGGACATATTCTCCAGTTTACTTGCTGTTAGTAATTTAGTCAAGGTTGATAAGATGGAAGTGAATCAAGCAACCTCACCGCATCAACTGGAACAATAAAGACGTAAGGAGGTATTGCTGTGACCTACTAAACGTACACCTGGATTTGTTTCGTATTTCAGCAGAAATATGGGATTACCAACAATTTATTTTTCGAATAATTTAGACATTTAGAATATTGGATAAAAACCTTTATGGAACTTGTAGTTTTATTTTCAAGGAATCTCACACTGTCATCGGCTTTCTCATGAATACCATCTTGTAAAATATGAGGAAAGGAAGCAAAACGGTTTATGTGGAAGAAACGCTTTCACTAGCGCCATAAACAGGCCACTGTTTCATAGGGATCACTAAGTGGACAGCCTAAAATCCTTCAAAATTATCAGCAACAAACTACGGATGAACTTATTCTCAAAATCGACAAGACGTCTGCTGTCTACCGTTTTCAACGTGATTTGCAGAAAGAGACAGTCGTCAGAATTCCTTTCACCCAGGAAATCGATGTCTTCACTGAGCCGTCTATTCAGTGAAGAAATCTTCGGTTTTAATACCATCCCGTTGCTATAGCTGCAATGTAATTCAACTTGTACATTATTCAAAGATTCGATTTGAACTCACCACAGTGATAGGCAGCCTCATAAACTAGTTGACTGTCATCTCATGCAACTCATGCATCTGCATTACGCGACCGCTCTTCCACAATATTCAAATATTTATGATATTTCCGACGATTTCGCCTTGTTTAAACTTGAACTCTCTGTGTATATTTTCTACAAGTGTAATTTCTGAGCACTGTTCATTAATTTTGAGGCATCTTGTTGACTGACACCAAGTAAGTAAGCTGCAATTGAGTTGCAACTGCTCTGTACATCAACCTATCTAATATTTAGTGTTGTACGCAGCTGACTAGAAGCTGACGATATAAACCATGTTACCCCACTAGGAAGCACAAGCTGTTGTTTCGGCTCTATTCAGATCGGTTTATGTGAACTTTAAAATCTTTTGACTTATAATTCGCAAGATCAGAGGATTGTTGAGGATACTGTTTGATTGTGTATGAAGGCTTGTGTGAGAAGAAAACGTCGAAGAATAGCACTATCCATTTTGCAGATATACTTGAGTAGTTCATTGACAATCCTGGAAACTGTGTGATTGGATAAAAGCAAATTACATTACAGTATAGATAAATTTCAACTAAGCCTACTTCATTAGTTTCCTACTTACCGAGTTGTTCAAAACTCCCTGTAAACAGGGTGAACTGGGCCTGAAGGTAGCTACACTACACCACAAAATCAATCAAACTGCTTCAGAAAATTCAACTCAAATAAAACATTGAAAATACAAAACTGTAATTAACATAATTATTCCTCTTTGGAGTCGCAAAGGCGAAATCACACAGTAGGCCGGTGAACGCCAGCATTCGCGAAGCCTATCAGACAGCTGATGTGTTATCTGTCTCTCATCAGAAGCAAGAATGAAAATGAGAACGTAGAATGTACGTACAATGTGTGAGGCTGGCTGAGATGGCCGCCTATTTAGCGATAGAAATGAGGAATTGTGACATAGAAGCGTTGAGAGTCGGTGAGAGCAGATTTAGACAGTTAATAATAATAATAACAGCTTTATTCCAAACAGTATTTGTGGTACAGGTATGGAATTTTCAGCGTGCATTACAGTATATTGCATCTAATTACCTCATAAATTATATAAGATTTTTAAAAATCAAAAATAAATAAAAATAAAATAAATAAGTTATAAATAAATAAAATAAATAAATATTAAAAATTAAGAAAAAAACAGCGTAGAGTATTTCATTTCAAACAATGCACCACAGGATTTGAAATATAAAGTTGATGTGTGGTTGTAGATGAGAACAACAGTGTAGTAGTAACGAGGAAAGGAAAACAAAAACTAATGGGACTATTTGTTAGAGTGCCGCAGTAAGTTTATCGTGTCATACCTAACGGATTTCTCATCACATAACAGCTGTGCCAGATATGGTATTGTGGAGTTTTTGTATTTGGTAGTCCTAGCATATAGCCTCCTATAGCTGCTTCTAGTTCTTCCAGATGAAATGCAAGGAGATAGATGCGTATAGAGAGGATGCTTGGGGTCCGACAATATTGTATTCGCTAGTTTCTTACATGATATTATATGTCTATCTACAATAGTGTTCACCAGTTGGTTTAACGATATCCCACTTGCCCTACTAACAGCTTTTAGTGCCCTTCTCAGCGAAGCAAAGTCTTTCTTAAGTAGTCCAGGAAAGACTAATGGGGAGCAGTAAAGGAGGATGGGTAGAATACAAGAATTTACAAACTGAGAAAGTAAAGACTGCTTTATACCAGACTGCCTAAATTTCCTAATGTAGAACGTTAAGCGAAACATCTTTCTAGTAACTAGCAAGATGTGGGAAGACCAGGAAAGATCGGTGGAAAAACTCAGCCCAAGGTACTTGACATTAGATGTATTTTCAACCTCTGTGCCGTCAATGAGAGTGGGGCCATGTGAGCTAACTAGTTGCTGTAGGTCACATTTACGTCTGAAAGTGAAATTGACTACCTGACATTTAGACGGATTAAGCTTAAGTCCGTTTGAAGAGGACCACTGACTAATTTCCGACAGAAAGCTATTTAATTTGGAACAATCTGACTGAGAGTTGACAGGCATAGAGACCGAGAGGTCATCGGCATACTTAACAAAAGTGGCTACATCAGAATGAGGCAAGTCATGTAAGAAAAACGAAAACAGAAAGGGAGAGAGAACAGCGCCTTGAGGAACGCCTGCTAAAGTAAGTGAGGTAGTGGAGGATTTTCCATTGTAGACGGTGTACTGCTTCCTTTCAGAAAAATAGGAATGCAACCACTTATTTGTCCAGCTTTCAGCCTGTGTTGCAGCAAGCTTACTTAGCAAGAGAGACCTGGGAACAGAGTCAAATGCAGATGTGTAATCAAGGAAGGCACAGCGAACGTATTTAGCCCCTTTATCTAAACTAGAGACTATGCTATGGTGGAGGACGACAGCGGCATCTAACGTACTCCTACTATGTTTATAAGCAAACTGGTTGGGGTCGTTGAAAGGTTTTAAAGAGGGATCAAGATTAAGTAGAATAAGTCTTTCCATAACTTTCAAGAAAGGTGAGGTAATTGAAATAGGTCTAAACTTAACATTAGGTCCACTTGTAGATTTAGGCACTGGAACGATCTTGATGTTTTTCCATGATTCAGGTATAATACTTTTGGAAAATTATCAGGATTTCAAGTGAGCTCAGAGAAGATTAAGGTGGTTAAGATAATCGACTTACAACGAAACACCAATTTATATCAAGGAACTCCCTTCACTTATATGGAAAGTGTTATCTGAAGTACAAGCAGTTAGTTGTCGGGGATGAAAATTTTAAAGCCGTTTTCAGAATGCCAAGTCAGACATCCATCAAAACGATTTGAGGTTGTAACACTTCTGTCCTCAGCATCAAGAATAAAATCATGATTTTCAACATCAGTGTTAAGTTATTTCCTCCATATGGGTGCACATCTTGTCATCGGCGTCAAGGAAAGCATTTCTAGCCGGTGCCGGCAAACTTTCATCAGATGAACAGGAGGAACTCACGACAAGAATCTCTGATGACCGACCAAACGAGAACGTATTTCCCACTAAGTACTCAGAGTGATGATTGGAGATGGATTAGACACACGTTGCGAAGAACCTCGAATGATGTCGCACACACGAGACATTCCCTGGAAGGGAATCTTAATAAGAAGTGCGATAACTTGTTATTTGGAGAATGACAACAAAAGACATCGTAAGAGGAGGGGGTAAAAGCTGATGGACAATCATGATGACGGCTAAAGTGGACTTAAGATAATCGGAGAGAGTGTAGATGCGTTGTCGAAGCTGTGTGTTCCAATCGTAACCAAAGGGAGTAATAAAATCCATACCAGTAACATGAAACATGGAGTGAGGACTGTCTTCAACGAATATACAACAGAATAAACACATTCACATCACCCAGATTATTGTCACAAAATATAAAATCATTTGTTTTGATGTGGCTGTGTTCTTTGAGCTGGATAGTTGATTTGGGAAGATTTATCGCCCTACCAGGCGAAATCATTAGCGCAAACTTCAATTTCAAGTCAGCTTTTATATTTCTCCAAGAGTTTAATAATCACTCAACACTCTAATGGAATACACTATTGTTTCCACACAGATTCCTCTCAAAAAGAAAAAGCCTGTAAAATGTAGTACTCTTTATATTTTAATATGTAGATGTACGGAAAGTTAGTCCCGGTGTCAAAGAGGCCGCCAATTTGAGAAGTACATGCGTTAAATAACACACGTATTTTATAATATATGAAAGTTTAATTAAATAGTTATTTTAATTGTTTGGCTAATCAGTTAATTATTTTTTCATTTATTTAAAACAGTAACACTTTCTGGCGTCATATTTCAAGGTTCCCATAGTTAGATGCCATTCTCCATGTTCTGATTGAACACCTACTGCAGTTTCTTTCACTGGACAGACTTCATTGATATTCTTCGCTTCGTCAGGTCTTGCATTAAGATTTGCTCTAAAAGTTTATCGGTTTGTGAAAAAAAAACAAGAATAGAAATAAAATTTAGAGAAACACGCGGGGAAGAATTTACGAAATTTAAACTATTTGGAAGACTGCGATACACGATATGCATAACTAAATCTAATTGTACAGTGTTCTGTGTGATGTGCGCCTAGTCTCGTTTAGTTGTTCAGATGATGGCGAATAGAAGTGACACGAATAGATTAAAGTCGACAAGTCAGATAACCGGATTAGACAATGAAAACAGGATTTCAATGGCTAAGGGGAACGTGAATACGCTTGAGAATGCATATTTTGCAGAAGTTATGTACTTCTGCAGAGAATGATCTCTGGAAACAACAGCAGAACTGACATGCTTAGCATTTCTGGTTCCCGATATGATTTAGAAATGGAGTATGAATGTCAAGATTGTTCAGTTACTGACCACAGTTTGAGAATCCTTGAGAACGGGAGAAGTTAGTGCCGGCCATTTATTCCCTTTATATTTGGTACTGCTTCCCAGCACTGGTGTGAGCCAATGAAGTCAACAGGTATCGAACGGACCGGTAGAATCCTGGTAGCGTACTGCTGAACCGTTTGAAATTAGGACGACGTAGCTCTCTATGCATTAGCTGCTCCCATGTAGTTCTCTAAATGAAGTCAGTTTGTGATCCCATTTGAAGTCAATGAAATCACTGCAGACAAACACTCAGGAATCTGTCAATGCTCACATGTATATGTTCAGAGTAGGTATCAACAATTGAAAACCAATTATCATTACAAATTAGTCAAACAATTACCCTGGGCCATAGTTACAGACTATGAACAAACCGCTTTTAATGTTGTTGATGGCCGGACATTTGGTCACTCCACATCCAATATCTGTTGTGTTGGCGAAAACCATCTGCAATTGGCACGAAAGATTAAAGCTTATATTTCAACAGATTTTAAGACAAGTGTTTACGAGGTTCGTCGAGATAGAGTCTCCCCGTAGTTTAATTCATTAATCAACACTCACCTGCATGTAGCGTCTACACTGGTAATTGTAAAGATTGTTTATGAAATTATACGACTTATGGTGACCGAACCATGCCTCCATAGCTCTAAAATACAAGTATAGTGTGTTTTGCTTTTATTTTATAGCAGTGATTACTGTTCAACAATTGGATTAGCACCAATATACTGTGCATCTGAATACAATTTTGAACTTTTTGGATGACAGAATCCAGTTCTACGGGTTTCGGATGATGTTTTTGCTTGACTAGACAGTTTTTCATCCCATGCCTGTAACTGACGGAAGAAAGGAGATGAAAAGAGGAGTGTATTGGTGAAGCATATATATATATATAATCGTAACTGTGAACGGTTTCGACAGTGCCAGTGCGTTAGTCAGGAAACAATGGAGGTAGACGTGAAATCGAATGATTACAATCAATTCTGAATGATACAAAAGTATATCTCGAACTCTACATAATTGATGCCTGCACCACCTAAAACATTCACTCTACACTGCTTCCAATAACCTCTTTGTCTCATTCAATACTTCAGTGTCGACGTATCGCAAGGAGTAGTACGGAGCCGGCTGTCCTTAGCCAGCTGGAAACACTTCGTCCATGTAACGTGATTTGCATGAATGTGGGGGGTCAGCTAACAGCTCTGACTCACCAACGTCTATCCATGAATTCACCTGCTCATGTGGAGCCAAGTATGTCAGTTATCCTCAGCGTTTTCTAACCGGGCGTATTAACGAACCCACACTCTGACGGTTTTATAAAGAAGAAGCATAATCCTCCGGCAGGTCTATTCTGGAAAGGCTGTTCGTCTGTACAGCTTTGTGTGGACAATAAGCGGTAATCTATCTGAAGGAGATCGAATCAACTTCCTTCAAACCTCAAGAGAGGTACGTATAAAGTTCAAGAATGTTCAATAAATAAAATGACAATGATTTAAATCATCTTAACACTTTCTTAAGAATACAAATTACTGAATAAAAGCAACAACACAAAATGGACTCACGAGTGGAGGCATTCTCTTGGCTGCTGGTTGTCTATCCACTTTGCAATCGAGTATCTGTTGACGATATTCACTGTGTATTTGTAATATTTTCTCCGTGTACGCATCTTGACTAGCCAGAGCCAGTTGCACTTCTGAGAAAAGAATAATTTGCATTGACAGTATCATGTTCCTGCTCACAATTACTTGAAAATGAAGGTCTTATATCTCCGTTTATATAAATATTTTCTTCTCCTCGTTGTATACGTACGCGTGCTTAGATAAAAATAGTAAATAGGCTGTGTACAGTCCAATCAATTATGTTTACTAAAAAATAAATCACTTTTGACAACTCCTGACTTGTACGAACGAGGAATTATTTACAAATGAAGGATGATTTGAATGTATGATGGATAGGAGAGTATGCCAGATTTTTTAGCGCAGAATTCAATTCGCTTGGATATCTTCAACAGCAGATGAGATAAGTATGAAATGGTGTTTCTTCACTATCTGTAACCCCGAAGGTTTCATCAACCCTCATTTGGAGTTTACGCTAATAAACCCATTTTTCATGTTTAGTCAAATTGGATGACAAATATCCTGAGTTGTGTATATGTTAGTCTACCCTGGGAGCGATGAAAGCTCTACACAATCCGAACAGATCGGAAAGCATGTTATGTGTTTTGTTCACTGACGAACATGATATACCCTAGCTGCAAGCACTACTCAACTGAATTTTCGAACAGATTTCATGTGAAGTGCTAGAGATGTGGCGCCTTAACATAACCACTCGATTCAGTTTGACAGTCTGTCTAGCATCCCAGAACTGAGAAATTAAAGTGTAACAAGTTGTATTTTAATAAATAAATAAATCACAATAGATGCAACTTCATCTGGATGAAAACTACCCATCTGACATATATCAAAGACGCACAGGTCATCGAAGACAAATGTAATTTCCGTAAATTCATTTTGATGTTGTCCACTTAATTATACAGTGTTGAAAGGGTCATGGAATCCAAATTATGGTGAAATCGTCATAATCGAAGTCGTCACAGTTAGAAACCGCCCACTGGAAAACCAGGTGAGAGTACTAGACAGTCAGCTGTTTCGTTCCAGTGTGGAAATCATCACAGCAGACACACAGCGCCAAGGTTGGAACTCGAAACTTTTCGATTGACAAGGCCAGCTCGTACATCATTAAGCCACTACAAACTTGTCCAATCGTTGCTATATGAATTCCCAGTTCCATCAATTCACGACACTATCATCCCTAGCAAGTAGTTGACCCAGGAAACCAATACCTGGAGATTAAGGAATATTTATAAAGTAGAACTCAGCGTTTAAAAGACAGAAATAGGATAAAGTTCAGGAAAATGACGAAGAAATATGGGTCACACATTAGGTTTTGTGTCTGTAGAGGAAGCTTTGAAGCGTTTATTCTTTTGCGTTCCTAGTGGAACATAGTCCTTCAAGCTAGAGTTTCAGCAACAGTGTGAGGTTGTTAGCCTCACACTCCCCCTACTCTGCACATCACGCTTACCGCCAACTTGGACAGGTAATAATGTGCGCCTGCCGAAGGCATGTTCACCACCGAACACAGATGCACAGCACAAACCACAACATATCAAGGCATTTTTCTGTATTCCAACTGAAATAAAATTCCGCAAGTCTCATCAAATTGTTCGCTGTTGCCATATTCATTTTATCAATGCAACACTTATAAGGTAATGACCATAGTTGGTGCGACCATAAAAATACAACTAAGGGGGGAATACTTGAGATAGAGTAAGGAGAAAGTTTCAAGTATGAGTAGTGTCTTAGCCAAGGATGAAATTAATGCATGAATACATTGAAAGTAAACGGTTCGCTCTAGAGAGCGTCATCACATCGGATGCCAAAATAATCACTCAAATGCGGTTGGCATTTGACCCATTTTTCAATGAAACAACGTGTTAGTATGCCGCCTATTCTGAGATCACTTATTTTGAGTTGAATGTAGATGTAAATACAGCAGAAAGTGATTCTGAAATCATAGAGTTTGTAGTTTTATGGATCGTTTGGATGGTTTTGATTCAGTTGAATTCTCTGAGCTTGGTCATTTTATTATTATCCTTGTAGACAACGTCTTCAGCTCATAGGTCAATATGAAGTGAACGACTTTGAATTCACCATCCTTGTTTCCCTGATCGATTATAATAAATTGAAATGTCACTTTACATTTCTCATATGGCTTACCCTCTATTGCTGCAAACTGTTGGCATTACAATATAGATGCTCAGAGTGCGATGAATAGTCCGTTATGAAATAAGCTATTTGTGAAATGAAATATAAAGAGGCACATATCGACAAAAGAGATAACGTCATTACTAATACGCGTGAGTATTTTAACTGGAAAACTCCGTGGAATTGAAAGAATTCTATAATGGAGGGTATAAATTTTAGAAACAAACTGGCTAAAACCGTGAAAAATGAAGATGGAACGAGACAAAAGTGATTAGTAAACTGAAGTATACAAAAAGGGATTATTGGAAGTGGCACTTCGGAGGGGGAGAAGAAATTCCTCTCAAAGTTTTGTCTGAGGACGGAACAGAATCTGAATGTTTACCGGCTTAGTCAATTTTATTACAACAGCTATAACTATATAAACAGATGGCATAAGCAAACTGTCCGTGTTAATGACTTCGAAATGTGTTACTTTCAACTGAAGAGTATTCTTGCTTCAAGTGAACATATCAACCAATAGTATTTCATTCGAAGTAATATCAGACATGCAACAGAAGCATGTCCCGATACTACTTACTTCAAAGTAGTATCCTTCTATTTCCTTGGAAATATTCTTAGCGGGAGGTAGAAAGGTATTTACGCACTTATGCTCAAATATCGATTTCGACTCATTGTAACTCGATTAGATGCTTCAAACAATATGAAATTAACTAAATCCAATGCACTTTGATTGACAGACAATTTAGGGAATCCAGTGATTTTAGCAAGCCGTCCAGTACATCAGGACTACAGATGGGTTTTGTGTCATTCGCAATGTATTCAAGGGCTGTTTGACACGTATAAGGTTAGAAAGGATACAAGAATACCTTCCTGAATGGTTACACAATGGTCGTTATGACTTTATGATCACATGTTGTGAACACTGGTCATCACATCTCAACAAACACCTTCTTCAGAGTAATCTACGAATTAAAGCAACATCTGTCAGAGACATTAAGCTATTGTCTCTTTCACATTGATAAGGCATTAGTTATTCAATTGGAGAGACCGGAAGAAGAGTGTTCAGTCACTTTTATTATTATGGTGAAAAACATATCGATTTCTACTTAGTTGTCTTTTGTGTGTTTGTTTTTTTTTGTAACCTCCTACAACTCCCGTATTACCTCAGAAGTATTACAAAATTCCACTTCCGGTATCAATCTCTCCCTCCACTCTGCTATTACATTAGATTTTAAAACTGTCATCTTATCTACTCATATTGTATGGTTGTGTAATGTGTAGTGAGTGAGTCGTATAGCTGAACTATTATCCGGATTTCTGATCTAATTCAAGTCAACTAATCTAGATTTAGGGAGGCGTTTTGTGCTCTGCTAGTCTGACTGATTTTGGTCTACTACTCTGACCTTAGACCAGGTAGAGGGTGCATAGATCATATCTTCACTCTCCAACAGATTCTGGAACATAGACACACTTTTCGGCGTCCAGCAATTGCCATATTTCTCGACTTGAAGGCGGCCTTCGACTCCGTGGATCGAAAGGTACTATGGCAATGTCTGACTGTGAAGTGAGTGCCAAGAAAGTACATTGCACTAATCAAGGCACTTTATTCAAAATCATGTAGTCGTATAAGGGCTTATGGGGAATTGTCATCTGAATTGGTAACAACCAGTGGTGTCCGACAGGGATGTCCACTTTCCCCATTCCTGTTTAACTTCACCATAGATATGCTGATTGAAGTATCCTTAACTGAACGTAACGACTTAGGAATCGACTTCCTAACAGTGAGTAGCCTTGTGGACTTAGAATATGCAGATGACATAGTCCTGTTAGGGGAGGGTGCTGACAAAATCCAGCAGAGTCTTCTGAACACCTTGAGCAGCAATCTTCATATGTTTGGCATGCGATTCGTCCCTACAAAATGTAAGATGCTGCTACAGGATCGGACTACGTCAACTCCTAGCTTAGTGATAAGGAGTGAAGTGATAGAACATGTTGACCACTTCACCTATTTGGGAAGTTGTATTAGCACCAACGGACTGATTGGCGATGAAATCTCAGCACGGATCCGAAAAGCTCGAGCTGCTTTCGCTGACTTACACCATCTCTGGCGTAGGCGTGACAACCAGCTATCAACCAAGGGACGTGTGTACTGCTTATCAGTTCGCTCCGTCCTTCTCTATGGCTCTGAAACATGGCCAATTCGAGTTGAAGACATGAAAAGGTCGACTGTTTTTGATCATAGATGTCTACGATCTCTTTCTCACGTTAGGTGGTTTAATAAGGTCAGTAATGTTGACATTAGGCGTAGAGTGTTGGGTAAAGAGGGAAAATCAATCGACGAGGCTGTAAAGTCACATAGATTGAGATGGCTAGGTCACAAGCCTAATGCGCATGCCTAACCATCGCCTCCTCTGACGGGCATTGCTAGATGATATAGGTGCAGGTTGGAAAAGAGTAAGTAGTGGCCAAACAAAAACAGGGCATCAATCCATGAAATAAATCCTTGACAGTTAAACTGAGTCAGGTAGGCAGATGCAGACTCCCGGGTTGGGGCCCTCAGGACTCTAGGAATCAATGGCTGGAGACAATAGGTGACATGGCTCAAAATCGTTGTCAATGGCTCAGATGTATTCAGTCTCTGTAATTTTTCATATTCCTTTCTACCATTACCCATTCTGTTTCACTCTCATACTTGTCAAACTCTATTGGTTCTCTTCGCTCATCTTCTTGTCTACCTCTTTGTGCTATTTGGAATGTGGCAACTAGAACTGGCGCACTTCGGTGCCAAGTTCTATGTTGAATCCAGACAG